CTCTATTAAAAATGCGAAGACTACTGTTTACTGTGTTAGAAATTTCTGCGAGCTGTTGTGTTTGTTTTCTGATAATTTTTTTATTGCTAAGATCAAAACGACAGTGGATTAAAATAAATTAGAGTTTCCTTTTAATGCCTCTGAAACCACGTATGCTCTTCATTATTAACAAATTAATCCCAAGTCTATCCCAAATTTTTCCCTTCAAAATTTTGTTTTAATTCGATGTCGTTTTAATTCGTCACATTTATTAATTTAATATATATTGTATTGCCTTGTTATGAAATAATAAATATACAACTTTGAATACAGCAAAACTTTGGTTATAAGGGGTTTTTGTTCGCTCTGACCACTGCGTCGAATTTACGTAACCGGATCTTTCCACTCTGGACTGGATGAGAAATACAAATATTTGTTATTGCGTATACCCACTCGACTTGCAATCAACTGGCCACGAACAGGTTTTTCAAATTTGACGGCTACGCCACCGGCCACAGTACGCCCGCCACAGCCCCGGCAGTGGACGAAATTGTATAAAAATGGACAACATTTTTTTACCAATTTTATTATCCGAAAATGGGTGGTTTTCCTTACTAAATTTGATAACGTTTAAATTATTAAATTTAATACAGGGGACAGAAAAGGTAGCTTTTTTTTTCTTATTTGATACGGCATGTCGGCCAAAGATAATATATAAAGTATTATTCTTAATTGGCTAATAATTGCCAGGCAAACCCTTTTTTAATAATACCGTATACTAACTATGATACTCCCTCTAGCACTCGTAGAGATAAATTACCTCTCTGCCCTACCCTTCCAAATCTATTGCAAATACGTACAGTCACACTTGTCTATTTGCATATGTTGTGACTAATAAATTTTTATGCAAGTAAGCAAAATATGCAATTAGAAGAAGATACAATGTTGTTCTTGTTATCTCTGCATTAACGATAGACAAATGCGACTGTGCTGCTAAATATTGTAGGGGAGGTGACTGATGAGAACACATAATGTTTCGTTTAGAAATACATTTTTGTATTTAAACAAATTTATGCCATTGATAGTTATTTTTATAATGTAAACAAAACGCTTCATGGATATTAATATTCATTGATCATAATAATGTCCGCCCTCATCAACGATTAAGCAACAGTTCTTTGTCAATGTTCCGTCTGTTACACTAAATCCTATTTGTCTCTTGATAACAACCTAATAAACGTTGAGATTATCGCAGGAGATATTCATTTGAGTTAAAACCATGTGGTTCACTGTTAACAAACTGGTTAAATCCTCCCCCGGACTTGAATGGATTCCTCACTGGGAAATTACCAAAATAAGGCCAACTCCAATTGAAAACGTCCATGACGCTATTCGCGAGCGAATAACTAAGAATAGAGTGAGGATAACACTGGTGTCTATTGGAAATAACAAAGAACACACACCAACGCATGTGAAGGAATTTGCTAGAATATACTCAATCCCGGCACACAAACACGATAATGTTGACCGTCAGTTTAGAAGATATTCTAAATGGCTTAAGTGTCGCAACGCACACATAAGAGGATTTACCGAACATAACGACAACTATTACATGGTTGCTGATAGAATGTTTTATCATTATTATGTTCAATATGGATTCTGCTCCACATGTGGAATACTCCGATGTAGTCCTGTGTGGTGCATTTGTGGCCATAAACAATTATCCAATGGATGGACTAGCAATAATAAACAAATTGATGACTTTATCAAGAACTCTCAATCACAGACAAACTCACCAAATGATGCCTATTTGGAATGGATTCCATATGAATGTATTAATGATAATGGAGAATATGGCATAACGTTATATGGTCTAATTACGCGATATATACATGTTGAATTGATTCCACTTGAGATAACAAACGAGACACATGATTTATATTGTGCTGAGGTAAACTATTTGCTTCATCATGTTTGTTGGGGATAGTTTAAATAGTATTTGACATATTATTATGTATTGTTTCCACTAGTTATGTCATACGCATCCAGATATTCTTACCACAAACACATGGGTTACTATTGGATTTACACACAACACATATCTGCAGAAGTATTGTCTGATAAAAGAAGAACGTGGACACGGATTATGTCTGGTGTGTACACAGCTGTTAGATCCAAGAATAAATGCATTCTGCTTCAAATGTAAAGCACCGACACCTGCTGATTGGACTACGGGCAACAAGTCATTGGACTCATTTATTATTGAATCATGGGGTAATGCAAAGAATGAGTATGATGCGTATATACAATGGATCAAATACTCTCTATTGACCAACGTACAAGAGATGACATCATTACGTCACAGATGCACACATATAGCGGACTGGTTAGAACCGACAACAAATGAATTGACTCGCGTAACGCTGAAAAAGATAACTGGCAAGCAAAACGATCAGTCGTTTGATTTTCATCAGGTAAATATTTCACAATCGATTAGCGTGTGTTGCGCGTTTATTTGTAACGATTGTATTTGTTTACTGAATAGGTAGCCAAGGAATTCCCAGAGATATTAACATCCGAGAACGTTTGGATAATTGGGGTTACTCAAGAGCCGTCTACTTGCGAATACTATTTAGTGTTTTACCATGATATACGTCTGATATTGGACAAAATTATAGAAAGTCGTCGCCAACATTTAAAGTATATGCAGTACAGTGACTTTGACAACTTTAAAGAGATTGGATCTGGTAGTTACAAAACAGTTTATGCTGCCAGATATAAGTATCCAGAAGGACGTTATATGCTCGAAACTGTTGTACTCAAACGATTTAAGAGTTTTGATAGAGCGCCGGAATTATTTATTTCCGAGGTAAGCAACAATAACAATTGGCAGTATCATTCCAGTGACATTTAATTTGATGCTATAATTATTTTTATTTAATAGTTCAGAAATCATGTCAAGTGTTCAAATGATTATTCATTCCTTCAAATCCATGGAGTTATACAAGATGCAGAAACAAACGAGTATATGATTGTTATGCAATATGCTAATCATGGTAGTCTTTTGTCTTATTTGGATCGAAATATTAACAAATTGACGTGGATGAGAAAATTAGAAATTTTGAGTTGTATTGCACGGAATCTGGAAACTATTCATGGTGTGGGATTAGTGCATTGTAATCTGCATGGCGGAAACATACTTATGCATGATTTCGGGTATGGATATAGAGCTAGGATATCAGCATCTATATGTGATTTGGGTCACTCACGATTAACTAGAACGGGTTTACATCAACAAAATTCAAACATTCGAGGCGTTTTCTCCTTTATTGCACCGGAAGTCTTTCATACTCGCAAATTTACTCAGAAATCAGACGTGTATTCTTTTGGCATCATTATGTATTTGATTGCTACTGGCGAACAACCCTTTAGAGATAGGCAATTCGACAAAGATTTAATATGCGATATTATGAGCGGACTACGGCCATCGATGCCTGATTCCGCACCAGAGGAATACAAGAAACTTGCCGAGCGGTGTTGTGATGCTGATCCTGATAAGCGTCCTGATGCAAGTAAATTAACGAGGTATATTTACAAGCTTATTGATCGTGTACGGCGACAACGTTCGTGGAATTTCGTTTATCATAAACGACATACAGCCGTTATCGCGTCTTGATTGGGGAGTAATATTCTAATACGCTCTTAGTAATTACTGAGATCTGTCCAATGAATATCTTGCGCTTCAGATTTCAGCTTGTCAAGTTTGGTGGTAGGGTTGGAGGAGCTTGAATAGTAAACGGGCAAGTTTGAATTTGTGGCGATTACCAAGTCAATCTACAATATTAAACGTCGTTCACTTACACTGCTAATGATTTCGTATTTTTGAATGAGCTTGTAGTTCGCGGTCTTTTCAAAAGTTTACTCCAGCAATATACTTTCATGTATGTGAGTTAAAGAGATACCCGCGCATGCGCTCATTATTACTGGCCTTGACCGGGGTAGACTATTTGAATATGTAAAAAAATATAGTAACCGATTACATTAATTAAAAAGTTTGTGAACTGGCAATGAGTTTGTTCTTGGAAAACGCGTACCTCTGTTCGATGGGCAGTGAAGCTTCACTGTCAAGGCCCCCGACTGGATGATGCGTGTTTCCTGACATTGTTTTTATATTCAAACCAATTCTTCCCATGCAGTCGGCCAATTAATGATTTCTTGTTCAACTCTTCACTGCGATTACCTTCATGACAAGATGCGATAAAAGCAGAGCCGACGCCTGCATCATGACCAAGGAGCAAGCATTGGCTCCTGGCAATATAATGACATTCGATGTCGCGGCTTATTATCATCTGCTACTCATGGTTCTGTTCTTTTCGTTTGTTTTAATAGAATTGATATATTTCATACTAAAGTAGCAATTTTAAGATTAATACTCAATCATCCATCTTTTAATGCATTGCTTTAAGCGTTCGGGTGACAAAAACTGTACCTATTCACTTGTGGCAAGGAAAGATGACTGTGGTCGTCTTTGCATTCGATACACCTCATTGAACGTCAAGCACTCTCCCACTTTTGTCCTCCTGACCAACGTACAGACTTTTGAATATCCACAAGTAAGCCTCCAACTCAACTTCGCTCTGCATGTCATCCATCGACTCACACAAGCTTGGTGTGGTGTCGATGAGCGGTTGGCTGTTGCTATCAAATGATATATTCCTAAATTCCAGACTAGAGAGTTCGCGAGGCATAGCAAGTAGTGAGACGAATATAGAAAACGCGTTGTCTAAGATTAATCCAGGGGTAATAATTATCGTTAGATGAACAATCAAAACAGTCATCGCTATCACTCACATAACCCTCGCAAAATAATTAGATATGCCGATTGATATCCATATTTCCATTCTTGTCGTGACCAATGCACCGGTATTCAAGCGACACATAGCGCATGCAAGGTCTTTCAAAGCTCTAACTTTTCAAGTAAATCGCTCAACTGCATTTTAATCATTCGCGCGCAACCACTTTCACGCCACAGCCACTAAATTCTGTGGCGCTATGGTTGGGTACGCCACTTCCAAACTGCGGAAAACGCCAACGGCAAAATGAGGGTGAAGGCTTTCCAGAAAACTACCAATAAAAGACGCAGGAATTTTTCTGGTAAATTGTTCTGCTGAGCGAGAAATTTTACTAGTGTTGGGATTCATGGTTGTCACTTTACTTATAACTTCAGACGAACTGCCCTATTATAGTGGAGAAAACCATAAGGATTTCGGCAAAAAACTGTTAAACCAATTAAACCAACCTGATTTGCTTTCGCACTCGTCATTAGCTTATGCATACTAGCAAATACAGCTTCATTTTATGATTATGTACTCACTCGTTTACCGACGTTGGATGGCAAGAATTGGGCCACTAGAAAGCGTATTACGGCACGTGCCCCGGCCTGAATGATAGCTGATGAAGAGCTCTACCCAACTTTCGTGAATCGCGCAACCTATTTCGGCATAGAATGCAATTTGCTAATAATGTGTCTCCTATGAATCGCATAATACCCCACCGAGAAATTGGCGATATTTAATAGAATTTTCAAGCAAGATTTGATAAAGACTCATGCCCGCCGAAATACTCACCGGTCTATTCTGCTTTCCTGCACTCGCTGACGCAACAACACTTGGGGGGACGCTCCTTTACATAGACTTGTCAGATATACATGCGGTGTAGTGAGATGCAGTACGCTGCAAAGTTTCTAAATTAGCCATTAAGAGATAATACTAGCAAGTCTAGCAAGCAAGCATTTTCCCGTGTCTCTGATTAATGATTATGTTTCTGCAAGTGTTTCGACGTTTCACAACTATTTTTTGAAGAAACAGATCGCTGGATGATCTCAATGCTATTTCTTTCACAGCCTGATCGACATTAACGACAAATCTGGGTACTAACCAAGACTGTATGTAGATCACATCATATGGCACAAAATTATGCTTTTTGAACACCAGATCACGACAGCGAATAGGTATTTTCGATACAATAAGCTCAACACAAGCTTTATAATTGTGGGAATATAATTCTACGTACATAAATGAATGATCAATTATACTTACTGGCACATAGACTGACAATAAAATTATTTTATGGTAGCCACCAAAATTGTTGGGCGAATCAATTATACAGTTTGGCGTTATCTTATTATTTCTATGCGACTTGTTTCTGATTTACGTTTATAACGCCTGCGATAATAAAGATAGTACTAATGCATGTCTACCGTATACCATATTTCTTCGGGGAGACAAATAGACACTTGGGACAAATCTTTTGGTTTTACCTTACGCTTGAGAATGTCGCTTCAACGAAAATGGTTCAAACTGTAATCATTATTATTCAAACTTTATAGAACTCTTCGGTTGTATAGTTATAAGAATGAGGGTAAGTAATACAATGTGTTTTTATAAACGTCCGCATGTCGAGCAAGACATCATTTCTTCAAAGACTAGCACTTGTTCTCGTACCTTTCGGTTACCAACTACTGCTCAAAAACTAGTTGAAAAGGGTAATGCTTACTGAATGAGACGACCGCAGGTATGATAACAGGAGAAATTTCTACCTGGGTGGGGTTACGAATGATATTAAATACAGCTTCAATTCCTGCTTAGAAAAAGGTCTGCTTGTGTCAATTCACGCCAGCTTCCACACGAACCAATTTGTCAAATTAGTCATGTGTAACGATGCGATTGTTCGGCCGAAAAATCTCAGTCGATTATGTAACACAAATATTCAGTAGTGACAATGATATACTGTAGATCTTGAGGATTATGTTTCGCTTGCCGTAAAGTTTTTCTCACTCAAATTTGGGTATGTCAAAGACATACATAGTCTACAAAAAGACTTCTGCAGCGCTTGATCAGCAATGATCACTATTCATACAATCATCTGTTGTAGCCAAGAATCCTGTAAGCTAATACAATTCGGTAATTCAATACACTGTAATTTGCGACGTTTTCTCTTCCTTACTATTCCGATAGAACTTGCAACATTCAACCTCATAAGCATTCAAAAATTCCGGCTCGAGAATACAAAACGCGCAGTGTTACATCAGCAGACCGCAAGAGAATGAACGTATTGTGATAAAAAAAGCAGCTGACCAGCATCGTAATAAAAATTTCATTGTTTGCACAAATATGCAAAGTAGGCACATACAAATACATCATTTTTGGATAATGTAACAACTATATAACGTCATGCGCATCTACAATTAATGTCCTCGGGAAGCGATGTTTTTGATTGCATATTGGACTACAGTTTGGGCGGATTTGTTATAACCAAGAGACAACCCTTGTAATTTAGCGAAAAATTACCAACGGTAAAAGCTGATACAATATAGCATTGAATACATAGATCAGGAGTCTCAATGTGGATTTGACAAAACATTCATTGATAATCAGTTTGCACAATTGAAATATTAATTCGGATTGTGCATCATACGTCAAACAGGGTGATTACCTTTTTTAGAAAAATATCCCTTCCCAGAGACTATCGTACATGCTTGCTTTTTATGAAAAATAAATGTAATTTATCAGGCAAACTCTCGGATATATAGTATACTTTTGTGTATGTAGCGCGTAAATATATGTTAAGTTTTTAACTTTTTTAGTTAGTCTGGCGTAGAGAATAAGAATAATAAAGTATTTTGTCTTTTTCTTGTTACCCCATTAGGGTTTACTGTTAATGTCTTTATATGATATGCCCTTGATTAATGCTCGCTGCAAAACGAGAATTAGTATGTCAACAGACTCAGATAAAATTATTTTATTGCTTAATATTGTAACGGACTAAGTAGAATTATGCTCACTTTTAATTCAATTTAACGAGAGTTGTGTCTGAGTTGGACCTCTCTTAGAACCCAGACACAACTGGTTACGACACGACCATAGTTTAGACTTGGACATTTTTTGCGCTCTTTGTTTTTGCATGAGTGTCATCTGTACAGCCATACGAAACAAGGAGACCATGCGGTAGGATCAGGTTGGATTTATTTTGTAGGAATGCTGATCTGTAAACCTAGTTAACTTGCTTGCTAGTTTCTAATAGCGTATTTTACAATTAATTTTATGCGAGAAAAGTTTTTAATTTTATAATCGTTGGGTGTAATGTTTTATAACACATTATCTTAAGCCTTTTTGTTTTGTTTTTTCAAAAGATACATTCAACTCATTATGCTCGCTAAGCAATCTCCAATGCCAGAACTATGTTTTCAAATAACTTAAAATTCGTGTGAAACTATGTCGAGTAGTTTTGGTCAAATGACAATGCTCCCTGGTTTATCTTGCATATCGGAGTGAATAATTCCGATTAGCCTCTGTTGTCAGATATTTATAGGGCTATATCAGTGAAAACCGTTACTATTTATACGCTTGTATAATAAGAGTAATACAAAAAAAAAACCAACACAACAACAACACATTGTCTGTGTAACTGTTTGAAAAAAAAGGGATTTATTCAGTGCGGGTAGAAATAGAACTCATCACCAGAACTCAAACAGGTTTATTCATTCTGCTTGGAAATGCAGATGTACGACATACTTGCAAGTATAAAACTCCCAGATTGCTTTTCCTTCACCGAACTATGAAAAGAAAATGAGTTCAAATTTAATCGATGAAAAACGTCAAATTTATCCTGTCACAGAATTATGTACAACCAATTCTACTTGTCCGGCAACGCGTTTTATTAATAAACTCACAACAGCCGAACTGGAACTTT